AATCGTCACAATTAAATAAAAACTATAAAATAAATAAAATATATAGACCTATGTACGACGATGAGAGTGGTCGGTGGACTGTTACAAGCGCTCTCAGTTAAACCCATCACTGCTTTTTCATCAGCTATGTGCTTGCGAAATAATACAACTCGTTCAGAATGAGGGATAACATGAGGCATTTTTGAAAGTAAAAGCGCAGCACCGCGTCTTCCCTTTTCCAAATCGGCCAAGAAGCCGGATACTCGTACTTCCTGTTTTAAGAAAAAAATCATGAATTAAAATATACTGAATATAGCAATAATAATAATGACATATAGCAAATATAAATCTCTCTACCCTGATTTCGTATTATAGACGCAAGATATATAAATATAAAGATAAATACAATGCGAAATAAATATTGTGTTAATAATTTTTAACTGATATAAAAAAAAATTTTAAATCATGACAAATTTTTTGGTAATAAAAGTCTGAGATATTTACAAAACTTAAAATAAACTGGATACTTAACTTGGCCAACCAATGACCTTCTGGACAAAACGTTCTGCGACAATCGCGTCGATAGATTGCCATTAGAAGAATATAAAGCGAAATAAATAGAGGATTGCTGGATACGGATTTCACATCTGTAATATCCAAATTTTTAGAAACGTACATGTTTTCACTTTTTAATCTGAAGATTCTATTTTTCTTTTTATGATTTTTAATTAACATACGATTTCGTAACAAATTCGGCTTACCGAATAAATTAGTGAGAACTGCTTTGTACAAAAACTGATTTAGAAAGTACGACATAGTGATAAAGTCTGTAAGCTTGAAGGGATCTTGATGCTCATACATTTCCATATCGTCCAAGATGCTAAAATTAGGAAATCAAGAAATTATTATGTAAAATCAATTCTAATAAATTTAAATATCAAATTGCTTGAAAGGAAACCATGTTACTTACGTCACGTAGTGCGTCATACAATCAGCGAATAGTATCAGCATCTGGAACTCAGGTGCCGTGCACTTAGTATTAGCCGCCAAGAGATCTAGAAACGCTTTCAAACCGCAGTGCGGCCCCAGGGTGGTGAGAAACAACCACATATGATAAAGAATTTTGCCTTGATAGCACAATCCTGTTTTTGTATGCGTATACTATTAGCCGGTATGTCATTTGCATGTATGATTTTGCGCAATTATATGCGTTAAGCTGAATACATACCGGTCAATATCTCGATCTTCATCTGCGTAAGCGTGTGTAATGCCGTTTGATATAGCGAGCAGATCAAAGCTATCTTGGTAGCCTCCGGACTGCCCAGCTTTCTGTAATTTTTAGTGCTGTTGTTCCTGTTGGTACGAGCCTCAAGAAACGCACGTCGGAAAATATTGGCTCCCATAGAAGAGGTACTTTGTTGTTCTACCGGAGGTGGTACCTCTTTTTCGACAAACTCGGTCAGTGGCTGTTCTAAAGAGAAAATAGAAAATAGATAAAGAATGAACTGATTTCTATTAGTTCGGCAAGATTGAAAAAATTACTTTTGAAAAGTAACTTGTTACCATTACTCATTCTTTATTTTAAAAAAATGCGCTACATAATTATTATTATTAATAAAAAATGTATTGCTATTATCATAATTTGTTATTTTATATATATATATATAATAGTTACTGTAACTATTTTATATATATATATATATATATATAATAATAATATAACTGTAACTATTATATATATATATATATAAATAGTAACTGAGAAATAATAACGATAATGACATTGTAAATGAAAAATTACATCTCGACTCTGTAAGTCGAATATCATACTTTTCTATGCAACTTGCAAAGCTCTTTGTAAAGATTATCGAAATATGTAAAATTCGATGACTCTTACCGATTAAATGCGTAACAATTCTGCCCGTCCAAAGACAAGCAAGTTGCAATTTTACCGAAGGAGTCGCATCCTGCAACGACGTGTCAATCGTCTGTGCAAACCAGCCTAATACAGGATGCCAATGCGTCAAATTACTCCGTTTGGCAACTACATATTGCTGACATGCTTCCAACATTCTCGTTACGACAAACTGTAGAAGATTCGCGAGATGTTATCAATATGCCCGTAATAAGGAAAATTACCGTGATGGCTTACCGTAAAAGAAGGAAAGCAGAGTTCTCTTAATACTTCTTCCCTCTCAATATTCGCTAATTGTATTAAATTTGCGAGCAAACAAAGCGCATAACTGCCCTCCAAAGCATTAAAGACGATCCTTAAATTCTGTTCGGAATTTAACAACTCCAAACTTCTCGCGAACAGATTATTTGTTATGAACGACGAAATGCACTGTAAATAAACATCAAAAACTTTACATACTTAGAAATATCAGAATTTATGTAAATATTTTCTTTTTTCTACCTCCGGTGACAAAATATTCAAGTGATAAACCAGAGCTGGGACGCTAAAGATGTTAATTAGGAACAGGGATACCAATTTGTCAGACATTTGTGAAGAGATCAGTGGCCTCAATGTCAGAGTGACCGCTGCTGAAAGTGTAACTGGTTTCAAAGCAATTTTTGCTCTACCTAATCCCTTCATTAAAAGAGTCTGAAATAAAAAATATAATTTAGCATTGTTAAAAAAAGAATCAAGATCATTAAAAAGTGTCATTGACATTGTTACCTGCATAGTAGCATAAAATCCATTGTTAACTAGATGGCCCATTATATTTGCGCACAGTTGGCTCATGCCAGTCTTCAATTGGTCCATGCCCTTCACTTTCTGTATAGCCCATGTTCCTGGCGATGTAAAACTCACCAGAGTATGCAGTCGGAGCAATATGGATTTGTGGTCCGATACTCTCTCCGGCTTCAGGCCATCCAGACCGGAGAGACAATGGTATAAAATGGTCTTCATTTGGGATATCCATGATATGTAGTGATCCTTGTTTAATGCCACTCCGACATAAGATATTTTTGGAGATTCGGAATCGAGAGTTAGCACAAGATATCTAAAAGGTCATCCTCCTTGAATACCATATTCTGAATCTTTCTTGAATATTATGCTGCATAACTCACCTACACACTCTCTCGATTCTCTCTTGATCTCTTTCTTTCTTATAAATTAACAAAAATCTTGAAATAATTCTATACACCTCTAGAGCAGGTTTTAATTCCACTGATGCATTATCCACACCGATGTCATCAAGGAAATTATTATCAAATTCTTCTCTACAAATGAAAAAAATAATCTTGTTAGATAATCACTAACTTGGTATAAACTTATATATTATATTCTATATATCATATTTATTTTCATGTTATTTGTATAATTCAATTCCTATGAAACATTCAAATTCACTGATTAAAAAAAAAAAATTAAAATGCACCTTATACCAATATACTACATAAAATATAAAATGAAATTAATATATCTCTCTTTATCATTTGATTCAATTTATCTGAATTTATTTGCCTGGAATTATGCCTAGCTCTATCAATATATATTTACATCACACAGATAACTGTGCAATTTTTACAGAGTTTTTCTACAGTATAGTGCTCAAACTGAATATCGACAACTTCTGTTCAAGCAATGGTACATGTGTTCTCAAATAATTCCTATATTCTTGTGGATGATCTCGTAATTTGTCTCTGCTCCACATAAAAGTAGTTCATATGAAGCTTTGTTTCGCACTTACAGTATTCGCTTGGTGAACTGGACGCGAGCCAACCAGGCTCGGACGTGGGCCTGAATCAAAGTGGCCGCGGCCTCTCTGCGCTTCTCGTGAGCCCGATCCTCGCGCGCGGCTTTCTTCTGTTGCAGGAAGCTGCCCTTCGACGACGAGCCCTCCGCACAAAACATCCTAGAGCTGACCTTGATCGCCGCTCACCTCCAGATCATAAGGACCCAAACAACCCCCCGGACGCCTATGCTTCTCCTCCACCACTACCTCCTCCTCGTCGTCGTCGTCGTCGTCGCTCGCTGCTAACCGCGAGACATCTCCGAGGCATCCTCATCAGCTGACGGGCATCTACCGATTCTCCCCACCACGTTATCCACTTCTTGTCCGTGGGTTATCACTACGTCGAGATACTCAGAATCCTCATTCGAATGCGCTTTTACAAAAGATCCGATATCGTCTGACAATGCGTTGCGAGTACTCCAATGTTGCCTTTCTTGAGATATCCTGGTCAGCTGACGGGTATTTACAAATCCTCTCTCCCTCTCCAGAAACGGAAAATCGCTCAGCAGTGACGGGTTGGAAGACTCAAGGTTCCCGAGGCAACCCGGAAATCAGATGAACTTGAAGATGGACTTAATTTCCAGAAGAATTTTAATGACTTCTTTTCCTTCATAATTTAAAGATTTTTTTAATTTTAAATAATTTGTTTTAGACAAATTTTATGATTGATGGTTTTTTGTTCTATTTGATAATTTATGGTTTCTTATTTAAATTATCATAATAATTTAATTAACATTCAAAAAACAAAAAGTAATTTATAATTTATCATTAATTTGTATACTAATATTTGTATTATTTTAAAGATTGGAATAAAGACAATAAATCATTACGTAATTATAAATTTTCTTTTAAGCATAAAAAATATTATTTAAATTAATTTTCAATTAAGCTAATTGGAGTTCTGATCTAAAACCGTTCCGATTTCAACCAAATTCCAACTTAATCAATTAATCAATTAATTAATCAAATGTATTATTTTGTTTTAATCCCTGATTAAAATTCAAAGTTCAATCGGAAGTTGCTACGAGGTCTTGGGTCTCCTTTGTGCTTCCTTGTTCTTTTATGGCCCAATTCATCTATCGCCGTTCCGCATTCGATCGCTCGACCGGTCGCGAGCTCTCTCGAGGCTGCTCCGATTTCTCGCGTCTCGACCTATCGAAACTGTGCGCATCTGCCGTGCGTCCACGGCGGCATCTCTCGTTCTCGTGTGCGTCGATCGTCCTCAGTCCGCACCAGGGCGCGTTGATATGCGTGTGTTCTCTTCCCCTCTCCTTCTCTCGGCGAGAGGAGTCGCGGATCTCCACGACGGTGTGTTTTCATTTCGTGACCGCGTTATCGGGCAGGACGTAGGGCGAGTATCGAGTTCACGCGAGTGACGAGCAAGGGAGAGGAGAGACGATCGATCCGTCATTGTACATCCGATTCGACGTACAACAGGACGCGCGCGGTCGGTTGACGGTCGCGCGGTGACCGTGGGAAAACTCGAAAATGTTCCCACGCTCTCGCTACGCTGCGAGTGTGTGTCGCGCGTGCGTGTGAAATTCCACAGGGAGGCCACGGGGAAGGGTGGACGCGCGCGGGGCAGCGCGGGGGTGGCAGGCAGGAGGATGAGCTCCCAGGGGCAGGAGCACGGACACGCGGTGGTCGTGTGGGAGTGGGAGAACCGTCACGGACGGTGGAGGCCTTACAGCCCGGCTGTGTCGCAGCATCTCGAGCGAGCCCACTACAAGAAACTCACGCGAGTGTTCCTGAATGATGCGGATCCCACTCTTGACAGGTCCGGACACGCGAATTAGAAATACGAAACGCGTGTAGCCCGTCGGCCTTAACTGCACTTGCCTTGCGATAAAAAGCGAGGCAGGTGTATGTTTGGGTTCTTGAGAAAAAAAAAAAGAGAAAGAGGAAGAGAGGGAGAGAGAGAAGTTGAGAGTAAACCGAGCAGATGTATATAACAAACATAGAATTTTAATTATGTTGGCTGTTTTGTTAATTATTTATAAAAAATTTATTGTTTATTTCTTGATTGTTCAATAACCCTGATTTCAAATGCTTCTTATTTTATTTTTATTGTTAAAACAAATAATGCAAGAATTTTTTTATTTTTATTTTGTTTTATTTTATTTTATTTTATTCATTTTAATAAAATAAAATAATATATCACATTTTAGAGATATTTTAATATTAATAATTGATACATATTTTTCTATTGAATATAGATATTTATAATTTTTGTTTAATATATTTTTAAAAACTTTTGTCAGTAATTCAAATTGTTAGAAATTAATATGAAATAGGTATATTAAATTATGCACTTAGTCCTTGAAGTTCAAAATAATATGTATTGATTTGTTTAATGATTAGGTATTACATAAATTTGAAGACCAAGACACAATGCAGCGATGATGGTGATGAAACACACAATGTGAGGAGAAAGTTTTACTTGCCAGGTTCACCGGCTGGCAAAGGAGCTAAGTGGGAATGGGCAGGCGATTCAGATGATTGGCATACTTATGATATGGAAGTGCAATGTCTCATAGAAGAAGCATGGGCAAGAGTAAGCAAATGAATATTACAAAATAGATCATTATACTTAATTTTTCTAATAAAATATTATTTTTTAGGGTGACAAAACTATTGATATTTCCAAGACTTATTTGGGTTTTCCTTATATTATCAACTTCTGCAATCTGACGCAAGTGAGATGCTGTACAGGCTATGTGAGGCCAATAAGACGTGTACAACAAGCACCCTATCCATTGGTCAAAGTCGCCTTAGAGGAACTGCAAGTCACTTCTGGGAAAAGAGCTACATCAGTTACAGTTAAGAGTTCCACTGTCAAGGTTACACACAAGAAATCATCTAACGGAAGTACGAAGAAAAACAACAAGAAAGTGAGTTTTGCCTTCTTCCAGCACGATATCATTCCTGTGTTGCAACTATCATTTGCGAATTGTTTTTTTTTTCAGGGTAAAAATGGAGAGACAAATGGACCGACGAACATTGCGCGTGTTATTCTCAGCAATTTTAACATATTCAGCAGTAAACATGGTATTGAAAATAATCCTGCAGCAACAAATGTGGAATCTGGTCAGAAGAGGAAGACTTGCGATACAGTGTTAGATGTTGATTCCAGCAGCACCAAGAGCGGCCGCAGGCCAAGTGTGGATACTGTGTCCACATATTTAAGTCATGAGAATCCGATAGACTTGTTGGACAGCAGCATGGGAAGCGATGATGCGTTCAAAGATTCCATTCTCGGTACATATTTAGAAAAATACACTCCTTTGATTTATTCCTTTAGTTATCCATCAATTTTCACATTCTTTATTAACTTTAATATAATGAAACAACTTCTGTTTGTTTATTTATAAATTTAAATTTACAGTAGCTTCGTATGGATTGAGTTTGAAATAATTTAATTTTAAATGAATCTTGAGTTTAAAATAAATTTCATAACAAGTGGATTAATATTTTTCTAAATTTTGATCTTTATTTATATCATAAAATAGCACACATCTATACATTTATTTAAATATCGAAAGTTCTTGGAATCGCAATGATGCTTGAATATCTAGACTCTAGACTATTAATACATCAAATCTTAATTAGGAATGGACACCACGTCGGATGTGATATCCCAATATGTGAAAGTAGTTGAGAGCGATGGTTCTGATTCCTGTCCAGTATGCCTGAGCACTCCAGAGCCGTTGACTGTCGAGCTAACACGTTGCAGGCACAGATTGCATTTAGCATGCCTGAATGCGATGCTCAGCTGCCAACAACTACCTATGTATATACAATGTCCAGTTTGTCGCATGATCTACGGTGAGAAGAGGGGCAATCAACCACCGGGTACAATGAATTGGACGCGGATACCGCGAGCATTGCCAGGCTTTCCAAATACTAATACTATACAAATTACTTACGAGTAAGTATAAGAAAGAGAGAGAGAGAGAGAGAAAATCAGTATTGCGAAAATTTGTATTTTTCTATAATATATTACTATAAGTACTCTTAGAAAAAAACGGATAAAAATAATTTGAATATCAATTAATCTAGGATAGACAAAAGAATCGATCAAATTAAAAGTTTTGAATTAATCAGTGATTGGTCTGTGTTATTTTTTTTCAGCATTCCATCCGGGATTCAAGGTAATGAGCACCCAAATCCGGGTCAGGCATATTATGCCGTCGGCTTTCCGAGAGTGTGTTATCTCCCGGACAACAATCTTGGCCGTCGTATATTGAGATTACTACAGATCGCATTCGAGCGCAGACTAATTTTCACAATTGGCCGTTCGGTCACTACCGGTCGCGAGGACGTCGTCACGTGGAACGAGATCCATCATAAAACCGAGCTAGGTCCATCCACATCTGGCCACGGTTACCCTGATCATAGTTACCTCGAAAGGACACTCGCGGAACTGGCAGCGCAAGGTGTGACCGATGGACAATCATCACCAATGTATCAGCAATTACATTAATTGCGATTATTAATGTAATATAATGGAGTGTTTATGCAAAAAATGAGTTAATTCATAGGGAGTGAATAGAAATCGATTTGAAGAAAATTAAACCTTTGAAAGAGACATTTTTTATGGAAAACCTAATTTAAAAGAAATTAATTCACGAATAATTTTAAAAATTAATTAACAAATTGAATAACTTTAGAACTTTCTAGAAATAAAGAATTTTTACTTGAAAATTTATAATAAAACGTATAAAATTTTAGAATTGATTCATTTTTGCATATTGCACGAATAATTTAGCGCAATTAATTTAAGATTCTTAACACTTTGCCGATCGGATGCATAAAACTATGTTTCATATGGGCATAATATTGTTGCTTCAATTTGATAAGATTAGAGTAAATTTAAATCATAAGGTAAAGAAAGATTCAGGATAAATCAGATTGCTTATGGAGATGGAAAAAAATTTATTATTATAAAGACAGGGAATTTATAGTGAATACAAGGATATTATAAGTTTATTTTAAGCATATTTATGAAAGAATAAATATGTAATTATGCAATGTAACTCCAAGATTGGAAGCACTTTAAGGGGAAAAAAGATAATAAGTAGTTTTTTCTTTTATATATTTATAGCACATTTATCGTAACAAAGACATCACAAATAAGAACTATTATTATTCATATGTTTTGATACATAAAATATTTTCTGATTTTTTTCAAAAGTTTAAGAATACATAACTAAAAATTAAAATAGCTTTTTAAAAGCATTTTTATTTGTGTGCACACCGATTTATCTGTTGCAAAGTATCGATATATTAACTTCCGTCGGCGAAGTGTTAATTTAAACTTTTCTCTTAAGAATAAAAAGCAGCACGAACAAATTAGAGATGTATATTTTTAAAAATTTACTTGATTTTTATTCCGTGCTACGCAAGGAACTGATAGATATATTCTAGAAAGCAGAATATTAGATTTTTATATAGACATATTAGATTTTTATCTAGATATATTTTGCATCGGAGAATGTGTTGCAACTAAATATGGGAGCAATTGTCGAACGACAGTATTATTTTATAGATCTTAGATTTATATATCTTTTTATAAAAAAAATATATATACATATCATCCATAAGAAATTTGTCAAAAGATACTAAAATTTTATTACGGTCTTACATAAATAATCAGAAAGATACAATTATTGGCACGAACAATATGTTTTATGAAATAATATTCTTTTATTTATCTAAATTTTGTTAACCAAAAATAGAATTTGATTCTTAAATAAGATAAAAATTATTGTTATCATTCCAAATTTTATTTTTAAAATTATAAAGCTAAGTTATGTTAGTTATATTCCGAATTATATTTATAATTTTCAGATAATTTGTTTGTATTTTATTCTCTAAAAAAAATCTTGATACCAAATCCCATATATAATCCTATTTTAGCTAATATTTAAAATGTTATTGATAATTTATTCAGTTTTATTAAAAGGATTATTTTGAAATAAAATATTACAACGCAATAATTAAAATCTATATAACATAATTTTGATATTTTTAACTATAATAACATCTCAAAACATTATTATTACATCTTACTCATTACTACATTATTACTACATCTTTAAAATATCTCAATTGTGAATTCAATTAAATTATAATTCGTCATAATTTTAACTATGAAGCTTTAATTAATTAATCAACTAATTCAAGTGATAGAATTGCTTATAATAAAACTTCTACTTATGACACTTGTTTCTTTCATAATTTTTTTATATCAAAAAATCAAAAAATGAATTAACTTTTATAAAAATAATTAATAATTAAATATTTATGTTAACGTAATGATATTTACAGATATTATTTGACAAATTAATTACTTATTAAATCAATCAGAATTAAATTTTCTTTCGTTCCGAATTTTCTATTTCTTACAAGCATGCGAAACATGAAATTCATCAAATATTAACTTCTAAGCGCACATTTATTTGTACGTATACCGGTTAGATGGCGTGTCTTTTAACATCATTAAAATGGCCGAAAATTGATTTTTTTAGCCGTGTTATTCCTCGATGACAATTCTCTCTCTCTCTTTATTTCCCTCATTCGCAACATCCGACGTTTTACTGACGGCGTGTAAAGAAAATTGCAACGGCAACTAACAGCGGCGACAACGACAACGACGACGGCGAATCGGCAAACGCTCGATCCTCCATGCCGGAGCAACACGGCAGTTCGCTTTGATCTCGTTTCGAATTTCGGCGTTCCCGCGCAGATTTCTCCAAACCTCATTGATTTTAAGCACTTAAATGAGCACCGGCAGTCAGCACAATTGTGTCCTATGCGAGTCGAAGCTGGACTCGAAGGAGGCACTGCAGGAACATTTTAGGTATGCTCATCGTCGTCGTCGTCATAACCAAGTCGAGATTCACTGAATTAGGTGTTTAATGTCCAATTCTACCAATGATTAATGTTAATCATCGATTTTTAATTTATTCGATTTAATTTACTTTTTATCTTATTTTAATTCTAAAAATTAAGACTAAATTAAATTGAGATTAATGTTAATCTACATTGAGAGAAATGAACATTAGTCGATTAATGTTCATGTTCATGATTCTGCCAATGTTATCCTATATTCGTAACGTTCTCCATGCACATGATATTTAAGAAATTGTTTGTCAACTTGTTAGAAATATTGGACATATGGAATGAGCATGTACACATACAAACTGATTGTTATATCAATATGAGATCGTGATGTTAAATTTGTTGCAGAAAGGAATTTCGACTTTGTATGCTATTTTTTATTTTGATTTTATTAATTTTTAGGCTTCTGTTATTTTAGTTAGCCCTCTGTTATTTCAAACTATTAAGAAGTATATTATTGTCCATTATCTAGTTTAAATAAATTACCTGTTTTTTGTTATATTTGCTATAGGAAACATGCAAATAAGGAGATAGATATGCGGGGGATGCCAGTGAGAAGCAGAAAAAGTACGGCTACTCAATGTGATATATGTGGTCAGTCATTTGATACAATAACGGCAACTATAAGGCATAGATTTAAAATGCATCCTAATTCACCGAATAAATTCTATTGTTTCTATTGTGGAAAGCAATTCCCTCTAAAGGTAAATGCATCATAATATTTCATTTTGTTTCACTTTTGTTTCTATAATAATCTCATGATAATGTATTGTTCAGACTCATAGAGATAGCCATCAAATGTCACATGACACATCTGAAAGTGAGAAAAAAGAGGAGCATAGAAAATGTGAAGAATGCAATGTGTTATTTTATAACCAGAAAGCGCTGAATTACCATCATCGTTCTGTTCATAAAATGTCAGCATATTGATCAATTTGTCTTTAAAAATGTAGAATTTGTTTATGAAATTATGATCTGATTGCTGTATTTTCAGATTGGTGTATATGTTTCAACCAATAGCCACTCCTCCACCTAGTAACAAAATCAAATTGAATTCTATGAATGATGCATTGAGCGTGTATTATTGTCATCTATGTGGCGTGGAGTATGTCATAAAATTCAATTTACAACAACACTTGGAAAAGATGCATACGCCAGTAAGGAAGATACAAAGATATTGATTAATTTCTTTATTATTTATTGGTTTTTAAGTTACCATTTATCTTACATTCCTTATATTAACAATTTTCAATTTTCTAAATCGACCAATTTTTCTAAAATATAGAATAAAAAAGTTGAAATGTCGATTTATAAATTAACTGCTCTCATACAAAATTACACTTATCCCATGTTTTGAGAGTCTGTTTACTGTTTTAAATGTACAAAGATAAAAATGATTATATCATATAATTAATTAAAGAATCTAATTGATTTTGAAAAAATATATTGGAAAAGATATTT